GAATTTAAACAGAGCCTCCCCAGGATAATGTAATACGCAGATTCTGCCCCAACCGCCAGAAATCATACCATCTTAACCCCAATGCAATCGGAAGAGTGATTTCCCACATGGGGACAACCTCTCCACCATTGAATCCAAACAGCGACGTGCACACCTCTTTCAACTCAACCTCTAGATCCATCTGCTTAAAGAAGTCGCAGAACATAACATCTACTAAGCTCTATGTGTCTATGAACATCCTCTACTAAGAGCATCATTGTGTGGCACATTCAGACCTTCAACGTCCTTTAATTTAAATCTGATCACGAGCTCTCGAGTTGTAGAGATAACCTCCTTCCTCGACCTATCAATGGCATTGTCTTTTTCTTCGATCGCTTCATCACGCCTTCTATATCTCTTTTCCCTATCCTTGTAAATCAACTCCTTGAGGTGACCTTCTCAGATCAACCTCTCGATGTCATCCTTTATGTGTCGGCAGTTATCAGTGGTGTGACCATAGTCCCTATGGAATCGATAATACAAGTCTGACTTCGGTTGTGTAAGGTCGTTAAGAAATCTCGACAACTCACCGCATCAGAATAAACATGCAACACCACCATATTTTCAAACAACCTCAAATGTCTCGACAGGTTAGACGAACCGTTATAGGTCTTACTCACCTCCCTTATTCCATTCGGTAAGTCTGCATCCATGATCTCCAGGGCAAAGGGGTGCACTCGAGCTCTCCCGAGTTGTTTTTCCTCAACCTCTATCTGTAACTGCCAAATTTGTTCTGCCATTTTCTCCACAGTCATGATGATCTCTCGTGGCCGCACTGCTTAAAACATCCACCTTTGTCTCTTTTCTGGTCATTGTAGTGAGGGTCACCGCATTTGACACCTATTGTTGCGCACACCCTGTTGCGACAACATCAGCAATCGTTTTACCAAACTTCTCTTTTGTCAACGTGATAAGTTGTTGACCTGTTGGCTTGACTGCACACCTTGGTGGTCCCATCCGCACGACCCCAACTAGATTTGGTTGCGCCTGGGGTGGAAACACGACCTTCGTACCCGATCTGATCTTCATTTGGTTGTTCGGGCCTCCAACAACTACGCGAATTGCCGACGAACTCCCTAAGCTTGCAGAGTTGGGTGTCAGGCTCACCGGGTTCTGAAACGACCCAGAAAATCCAGACGGTGGGCCTGCTCCCAGCAGGCGTGTGTTGGTCCACACCTTGTTAAAAATGGTCTCAAGTTTTCTTCAGGGATCTTCACTTGGCATATGGCTAAGGTTGGTAGATGGATTTTTGAACTAATGTCCCGCATACTGCGCAAAAATGGTGTGCAAAAAACCTTGACTTGTCTTGCACGACCCATAATGATGTGCAAAAGACCTCGATCTGGCTTGCACGACCTGGATATAATTCTTGACCTAAAATAAAGTAATATTGATGTAATTAAAAAATATTAATTTTTTTAACTTCAAAATAATATATATTATAATTTTTTTCAATTAATTATTGGCTAATTTTTTGCGACAATTATTCAATTTTAGCATAATTTATTTAAGAACTGAAATATTTTAATAATCTATGAGTAAGAGAAGATAGAGTGGGAAGTACTGTATTAGTATTATTTATGACAATGTTTGAATATGTTGAAGTTTCATTATCCATATTTCCAAACAGAAACACTAAAATTGCAGTTATTTTACAACGGGTGAAATAAATATATAAATCATATGTTAAATTATTATTTGCTATAAAATAAAGGAAAACAAAAATATTAATATTCAAACCTTTTTATACTAACCAATATTTTTTTCATTTCTTTAATATGTGCAATTTATAATTACTAACTCATGCATTGCACGGCTACGTACTAATTTTAAAGGCGAAATTAAAAATTTTCATAAATAGTAATTGATATATATTGTTTGCAAAAATTTTATGCTATTTAAAGTGAATACTTAACTTTTTTATATAGGTTAATATGTAGCTCGTGTGATGCATGAGACAGAGATGTTAACTGAGTCACTTCCATAGGGTGTCTGTTTAGGCCCAAAAATTAATATGGTCTGATGATCTATTTTTCACCTCTTTTAATCAGTGTTATTTCTTTTTAGCCAAAATGTTAAAGTTGAGCTTGTTAGGCTAGCCTTTAATATGTTATCTTGCTAACAAGTTTATACTAATATAAACTTAATTTTAATATTACATCTAGTTCTTGATATAAAAAAAAATAACAATTTTACTCATTATTGTTACCCATATAATACTCAATTGTTTTACACTAAAATTAGTTGTCATATAAGGTCATTATTTTTATTTACAAAAGTTATAAAAATAGTTTTCTTCTTTTTATTTTATGTAATAAAAAATATTTAATATGTGTTAATATTATTTATTAATGTAATTAACTATAAATAAATTTAATATAAAAATATTGTGCATGAATGTTTTACATATTATACACACATGTGGTTCTATACAATTTTTGGTATTTATCATATGCAATAATATGTAAAAAAAAAAAAAAAAAAAAAAAAAAAAAAAAAAAAAAAAAAAAAAAAAACTCCGTCACATTGAGAAAAATATTACATTGTAGCTTTATTTATATTAATTAACCATTTAATCCAGCAGTCATCCTAAATTTTTTTGCCGTTATGCATTACAATTAATTTTCTTTATAATAATTAAGCAACTTTAGTTTAGCAATTTCCAAAAATCAAATATCTTATATAGTAAAGAGATTTTTCTAATTTTTGCATCCTAAGAATTTATAATTTATTTAGGATACTACGAAATGTAAATATATTTTATAATCATTTCATTATAGAAAGAAACTAAAATAAAAAATAATAAATAATTAATTATCGGTGATAATATACAAATAAATTACACGTTAAAATTCTAAAGTAGAGTTAATATATTTAAATTTTATTATATGTCCATTTGTAAAACTATTTAATGTTTCTAGTCATTATCTCTTAAGTGGTAATTATGTTAACTTGAAGAATTGTTTATTTTGTATGAACTAACTAAATCTTAAGAAAAAAATTGTTAGCAAAGATTAATTCACCAACTTAATTTTGTACGATTAATTGAAAGAAAAAAACTTACCTAACTTGTTATGAACTTTTATAAATATTTTAGGATGAAAGTCAATATTTTGTGAAAAAAGAATTAATAATGTAATTATAACTTATAATCTGTTTTCATCTTTAACTTGACCAAAATATTATCAACACGAATCAAGGAAAATTATTTTATAGTTTATTATAATAAATATCAATGAAATTATTGCAGGTGTTAATAAAATCATTCAAGGAAAGAATTTTTTTATCATATCCGATTGATCTTACTGCAAAACGTGTATATAGTAATTAATGCATAAATTTAAAATTTTCTCGAAATAGATATCATTAAATGTTTTTGTAGATTTTTTTAATACTATTTTTAATATATCTCATTCTCTTTAGGGAAAATAATTGTGAGCAACCTGAACTATACGTGTTTTTGGGATTTTCACCCTAAAGTATTTTTTTTTTTTTTTTGGTAAAATGCAACCTGAACTACATACACAATCACTATTTACACCCTCGACCACATCTTGACCGTCCGATCAATAGCAAAAAAGGGCACGTGTATGGTCAAGATGTGGTCGAGGGTGCAAATAGTGATTGTGTATGTACTTCAGGTTGCATTTTACCAAAAAAATATTTTAAGTTGCAAATTCAAAAAACACGTATAGTTCAGGTTGCTCACAATTATTTTCCCTTCTCTTTATAATACTACCTCATATTTTTAATGCGAAATTGCACATTAATTAAAAATATTTTTTTTGTCAATAATAACCTTATTTAATGAAGATAGAGAAGAATGTTTTGAGAAAAAATGAAGAGTGAATATGAAAAGACGTAATGTATTTATTAGCTAAATGAATGTAATAATATAAAAATATGCACAAAAATCCAAACCGACATTCATTTGATTAATAATTGATAAAGCTAAAATGACATTTAAAAAAAAAAAATAGGAGGGAGTATATATGTATGGCTTTTGGTCCTTAGCCTTGGTAAGGTATACTACTCGACTTTTTTATATGGATTTTCTTTTGGTCCTTAGTAAGATTGCACTTATTTTGAGTGGCCATCTTTTGGCTTCCATTAGTCTCAGAATCGGGGACATTTCTTTAAATTGCTCTTGAAGTGAGATGTAATCGGACAATGTTACATAATTAAAGGGTAAAAGTATTTTATTTTTATTTTTATTTTCATTTTTTCTATTTATTTTTGTGATTTTTTATTTTTTATTTATTTATTTTTTTTCTTGGGGGAGAAAATGACGACTAGACTAGAATCCAACACATCAGTAAGTGCAACATCAAAGGTGAAGGAAATTGGTCCATTGCAAAAGCATTTACATTGCAGCAGATATATACATTTCCAACTTCCCGGATCGAACAACCGGTAGAAGAAAAGACGTAAAAGTATCTTTGTTTATGATCTACTGTTGATTTTAACAGAAGCTCAAATGTACCGGACCGAACAATCTCAAAAAAGAAAAGAAAAAAAAAAGGCACTTACAAGGTAGAATGGGCTTCAGTACAGAGCCTTTCTGTCTCCAGTAGACGACGATATATTAATTTAGCATCATTTCCATGTTTTTCCATAAGATAAAAACTGACTCATATGGACCAAGGAACAATTCCACCCTAGTTACCACAAGAAAATGGATAAAAAAGATAGGTCAAATATAGTTGTATCAACTCAGAGCAAATAATTAATTGCAGAATTAACCCTTAAAGGGTTTAAATCACAATTCTCTCTCAAAATTACAAACACCCACTTGAGTTCTGCATTTTTTTAGCAGAGATTCGCCTATTGAGGACTCAATTTGTAAACCAATCAAATGAAGGTGTATATTCATAATTTTAAGAGAAATTTGGGCTCTGTATTTTGGTAATTAATTAGTAAGAAACAGAAAATAAGTACCTTACTGTATGATATGATGGCTTTCAACTTTGATGAACAGAATTTGCAGTCTCCACAGGCATTACTAATTTTGCTTCAGACATTTCAACTTCACATGGACTACTGTTAGAGGCAGTTTCATTTCCCATTCTCATCAGTCTGAGTTTGGCTAATTGTACAGCTCGCAGCTCGTATCTGATCATGAAAACGACAAAGAATATATACATTTCATGGTTCTGAAGATTAAGATGCTATAACGCTGTAAGACAAACGGAGAAAAATGGAGGCCAATGGCTATAAACGACTGAATTTGTGGTAAACAGGCAAGCATTCGTGCAAAAAGCTTTGGCTCAACCGCAAAACTCATTCAATCACTTGGAAAAATTGAGCAGATTGATTGTGCTTTGCCAAATATATTCAGATATTGGTTTCTTTAATTGGCTCAACTTCAAGGATCTACTTTTCACCCACTTAACATACTTCCTTTAAGTTATGCATCCATTTGAAAACAAGGTACTTATGAATCATGACTAGACATACCAACAGTATATTATTATCTAATTCAAATGAACGTCTAGAATATGACAGGCCAAATTATGCAACTGAAAATATCGTAAATTGCTTTAAAGGTAATCTCCTCATTACCAATATGTTTTTAGCATGAGCAGTGCCACATGTACAACGGCTTTTTATAATGTGATTTACAATCACAGTATATCGTGATAATTGTAAGGCAAAGTAGCACGATAAATTGACAATTTTGTTCTAAATTCACCAAATCTGCGATTTCATCACCATTCTACCATCCTTTCATTCACTCAATCAACTTTATTCAAAATAGCTCACTTTAACCAACAACTCACTTTAACCAACTAAATACAACCAAAACCGGTTGGATTCATATTTAATCACGCCCTAATTATTGGAGATCATAAATATACAGAAGCAACAACTAGAGAGAAACAAACCCCAAGACCCAAGACAATGAAGAGATATAAGAATCATAGTTCCTTCAATTTGGGCCATTCAGGACTGGGAAGAAAAATAGAAAGCTCGCAAATTTTATGACATTCTTTGGTGTTTTATTATTTCAGTAAAAGGAGGAACTGAAAGGTTTTCAATGTTCTTATTAGCGGTCATTATGATCTCAGCTCTATTTATTTGCAGGAGTAAAAAATATTCCTAGCAGATGGGATATTGTGCCAAATTGTTTGTTTCTTTAGCCGCAAAAGTTTGCATCATTTAATTCCCTACTTCATGTCACCAGACGAATTAAAACTCATTGCGTATCGTTCTATCCAATTTTAAGTCTATTCCTCGAATAAAATGTCATTGTTACAGAAATAACCATTCCCCCACACTAACTGTTCAAGATTTAGTAATAGCAATAGTCTAAGCATCATATAGCACCTGCACTGCTATATAAGCTACAGATCTTGAAAAATACACAATAAAAGGAAAGTCAGAAAACATACTCTGCCACGAAACTCTTAACAAAACTAAAGTATATTCTCCAAAACTGCCTTTCCTTCAAATGGCGAGGGCATAACTGAAACCGTAGTTGTGCTAGTTCCTGAGGACAACCATAAATATGATTCAGCATATGATGCACAACTTTTCGAGGTCAATCAAGCAAATATAATAACCAGATAAGAAAGCCCATCATTCAAAGTTTGCAAAAA